GAGGCCATCGCTATTAGCTTGGAGGCCATCGCTCTTAGGTTGGAGGCAATTGCTCTTAGGTTGGAGGCCATTGCTCTTGGGTTGGACTTTTTGGACTTTCGGACGCCAAGTGCTCTCAGGCGTACTTTGCGCGATCCTGTCGTGACATTGTCACGGCTTCCTGAGGAAGTCTTTCGTGATCCAAGATCACTTGCAAGAGCCACTTCTCAAGTGGCCAGTTCAAACATCAGCGAAAAGTGCCAACATCCTATCGATGGCCGGCACCTCCCGAGGGGTCTCAAAATGCACCGAGGACTGGCACAAATCCTGCTTCCTAAGTGCCCAGACCATCATGACCTGTGTCTCAAACCACCCAGGCAGTCCCAAAACGGGGACAGCACTCACATCATCATCGCTCAGAAGCCACTCAGTAGGAGTCGAGGGATCGAGAGACTTCAAAGCCGCCCTGTAGTGCCCGGATCCAGGCTGTCCCAGATGCGCTATTGCAGCAATTGGAACGTAGTCGAAAGAGTCAATCTGGATGCCATCACCTGTAAAGTGTGGAATCCTGAACACAGTATCAAGCAGCACCTTGGAAACGAGCTTCTGGCCATGTGGATTACCTGCCAACGGTCTGAGGCGGTCCAAGTGCAGGCAAATCATGGAAGGAAGGTGCGAAAAAGCAGTGATCATGCCTGACTCCGTGTGCCAATTCTCAACAAGATGACTCAATGAATGAATCGGCTCAGGCATCACTCTAAGGTGGAGCAAAAGAGCTCCCAGGGCATGCGCATGCCTTTTTACCACTCCAGTATCGCGGGCGAAGCGTCTCTCCCACATACTGTATACAGCAGCTTGATCCATCTTGGACATGAGAAAGGTGGTGAATTCAGCAGCGTCGTGCTGCCGACTTCCATCCCAAGCAGCAAGGTGGTCCTGGAACGGTCTCAAAGCCAGGACCAAAAATGGAGCAGGTCCACATTGCAGCATAGCCTTCAACCCCCCTTGAAGGACACCCCAATCATCAAAAGTGAAGTGCTGACGGTGTATGCAGGCCCAAACCAGTGCAATCATAGATGAGTTGACATAGCAATGGTTGGCTGGATTTTGCATGATCCAAGAGGCCACGGTCACAGCCAGTTGTCCTCGCTCTGCACAGATCACAGGCGGGTGAGCATGTCTTTGATCTTCGAGGCAAGTGGCGAGGCTTTCAGGCTGTGAGGCTTCATCTGGAGGCCTGCAATCTGCATCAAACTCAGGTGGCAGCACGAGGTCATCAGCTTGTGAAGCCGATCGTTGCGCATCCCCACCTGAAGCTTCCAGGGTTGGCTTTTCGATGCGTCCTGCTTCCCCAGGGAGTGAAATTTCTGGATCGCTCCCTCCTCCTTGACCAGGGTGAGGAGTTCCTCGAGCAATTCTTGAGCAGTCATGGTCAAGGGCGTCTTGACCTTGGATAAGACTAGCTTCTTCTCCTTGGGATCCCACTGTGTGTAGGGCCATGTCTGATCCTCGAGGAGGATGGAATTCTTCACCAGGGTGACCCGTAGTGGATCTTGCTCGGGGCAATTCATCAGCTTGAGAAGCCTCCTCTGCAACTCTCTCAGAAGCGCCAAGATCAGGTGCGTGCGGAGGGTGCAAGGTTTCTCTCGAAGATCCGTCCATTGCTTGTGTGCTGTCTGAAGGAGAGGGATGCTGCCCTCTTGGCTTGGAACCAAGAAGAGTATGAATGTGTCTTGCTGTGCCGTCACCTGGAGGTCCTGATCGTGGCGCAGCACTAGATGACCCATTGCTCGAATGAGATCTCGCAATGGAGGCTCCCTCTCCACCGTCTGCCTGTCTCGCTTGTTTTGGCCGGTTCTGGCCCTCTTGAGCTGCTCCGGATCTCTTTCCATGGCCTCCGACTGGCCCCAACCTTGGAGCGCCGCCAATGATTGCTCCGCGAAAGCGTCCTCCATGGACTCCAAGCCAAAATCGCTCATGAAGCGGGAGGGACAGCAGTGACGAGATCTGGATCAGCGTTGGACAGGCAAGGTAGTGCGCCTGAAGATCGTCTCGAGCCATGCCACAGAAAGAGCAGCCCGAGGGCTCATCAGGGACAGCGGTCAACAGTCGAACGATCTGATGCACAAACATCATCAAACCTCGTTCTTGGCAATGATGCTCAGCTAACAAGTGCACTTGCAGATCTGTACCAAATCCCCGAAAGTCACACATAAAGCATCTGGAACTGAGAAGCTGAATCAATTCAGCGCAGTGCCACAGCTTATGAAACTGTCGATCAATAAGCCAGGTGGACATGTCGGTGACCAGGTGAGCAGGCAAAGCGCCTGGGCGGAGAAGCTGCTGGAGCATGTCCATGTCAAAGATCCAAGGGACCAGAAGTGTGTCATGCAATCGAAGGTGAGTCATGGCAAGTTGACGGAGGCCCACACATTCATGTCGTGAGGTCATGGTGGCAACTGCTGGATTGCAAATGCACCCAGTGAGTGGGCTAATGACCTGCTTGAGGCTGAGGCCAAGGTGAAGAGCATCGTTCCAGAGGATGGAGCGCCGGTCTTGCAGGTGCCTAGAGAGTTCGCGAGCTCCAGCGAATGCACGGCCACAGCACAAGCACTGGACAGTCAAGAAAGTGCGAGCACCTGCTTCTCGAAGATAAGGTCCCAGGCGGCCACTCAGCAGGGCAGCCTTGAGGTCCGGCTGATGGCAACTTCAGGAACATGCTTGCGGGGGTCAAAGTGCTTGCAATGCCCCTTGGTGATGTGATACCGCAAGGCATCCATAGAGGTCACTAGAAGGCCACAATGTGAGCATGCAGGTTCACCTTCAACCGAATCTCGTTTGGGATCATATCGATGAAGCTGCTGTTGATGTTCTTGTAGGTGAGTTGTCAATTGAACCCTGGCTCCAAAGCTCTGGGAGCACAGATGACACTTCCAGGAGAGGGTCTGTTTAAGTTGAGGCATGGGCAGAGTCCGCCGGGACGATAACTGCCGGGGCGGAGGTGGCCAGTTCGGCCTGCAGGATAGCTGCCTGAAGCAAAATCGGACATCCATGCTGTTGTTTCCACGATAGTGAGCAAAAGGGGCATGGTGAGCTCCTTACATGGTTCTTCTGAAGTGCAATCATCTGATCAATACCAGGGATCAAGATCTGTGGATGGGCCTCCCGCAAGTGAACTATCAGATCACGACCGCGAGTGCACCAACGCCCACACCGGAGACAATGATGAGCCAAGTAGTCACAGGCCTCTCGATCTTGTTGCAGATCATGCCAATGATCGCCATGGACGAAGTGAGCCACTCTTGCTCGGAGGGCTGAGAGATTCATAGCCTGAGTGCACGGAGTTGCAACAAAGAAGTCATCCAAGGTTGATTGTGCATGAGGGAGTGTTTCAGTATCATCATACTTACAAAACGAGGTCAGCTCACGCCACAGTACAGCAGGGATGGCATGAGTGGCATTAGACTCAATGGCCAAAGCAAAAGGTCTGGCATAACAGCGTTTCTGAGTGATGTGCTGACGAAAGGTGCTCCAGCAATCAAACTTCTTCAAACAGTGTGTGCACTCCGGCAAACCTTCCACAGCATGCTTAGCATAATCGACAACTTGCGGGCAACTAAACATGGCGCGCACACGTGTGAAGTGTCGGTGAAGGTCAGACACATCCGTGAACAGGGCATGACAAATGTGACAAGACAGGCCTGTCTGTGAGGGCAGAGCTGGCAAGTCAGAAGGAGAACTCGAGTACAGGGCCTCACGGAAGCGATCAATCACTTGGAGGGAGGCGTCAATGGAATAACATGAGTGACTCACAACAATGTCGTGTGCATCCAACATCAACAGATCCGTATCGTGCTGACGAAGCCGAGCCTGAGCAGAACGGCGCAGAGACTCAATGGGATGCTCAAGACCGAAGGCGTGCAAAACGGCAAGGTGACTATCACGTGTGTGAAAAGATTGATTGCCAGTAATGATGCGAAGTTGCTTCATGAGACAAGTCACATGTCGTGCAATGACCTTAGGCGTGAGGCCTACCGCCAACAACCCATACTCAGCGCATGGTATGATGCATGTTTGCCACAAACCAAGCCTAGTACGAAAGGGCAAACGACGTTTGCTGTAGAGCCAACGACTAAGAGACATGGCTGAGGAATGGGCAGCACTGGTGCGCATAGATTGCGTGGACTGTTCAAAAGCCGCATATGAAACACGAACACCAAGGTAAACAACAGAGGAAACAAGCTTCACCCGCATGCTGCCATTTTTCCGAGGCAAAAGCAGGTAGGCTCCATTGGCCCCACGTTTCGTGATCAAGGCTTGCCACTTCCGGTGTTGGACACCACCAAGCTGTAACAGAGCAACAGTTTTCACGGGATTAACTGTCAAGCCAAGGTCTTCAAGGCAGTCTATGACCATGCCCAAGTACCGCAAGCAAGCACGAAGTTCGAGGTCACTGCGAAACGTACTCCCCCCCTGAAGGTCATCAGCAAAAATATTGAGACAACGTTTGATCCAGGCAGTGGGAACACTTTGGGCGAGGCGTTGCAGAAACCGAGCCATGAGGACAGCCCAAAGGATGGGGGCCCCCGTGCAGCCTTGACGAACACCCTTACCACTTGGCTCACAAATGTGTATGCCTAAATGG